GAATGAGTTTGGAAGTTTTCCTTCTGTTTCTATTTTTTGAAACAGCTTCAGTAGAATAGGTATTATTTCTTCTTTGAATGTTTGGTAGAATTCCCCAGGGAATCCATCAGGCCCTGGACTCGTGTTTTTTGGGAGGTTTTGGATCACTGCTTCAATCTCATTACTGGTTATTGGCCTATTCAGGTTGTCAATTTCTTCCTGTTTCAGACTTGGCAGCTTATAGGTTTCCAGGAAGGCCTCCATTTCATCCAGATTGCTCAGTTTATTGGCATATAGTTGTTGATAATAATTTCTAATTATTGTTTCTATTTCCTTGGTGTTAGTCGTGATCTCTCCCCTTTCATTCATAATTTTATTAATTTGGGTCCTTTCTCTTTTCTTTTGGATAAGTCTGGCCAGTGGTTTATCGATCTTATTAATTCTTTCAAAGAATCAACTTCTAGTTTCGTTGATCTGATCTACTGTGTTTCTGGTTTCTAATTGATTTCTGCTCTAATTTTAACTATTTCTCTTCTAATGCGTGGCTTAGGCATCGTTTGTTGCTTTTTCTCTAGTTCTTTAAGGTGTAGAGTTAGTTGGTGAATTCGGGATTTTTCTATTTTTTTGAGTGAGGCTTGGATGGCTATGTATTTCCCCCTTAGGACCGCCTTTGCAGTATCTCATAGGTTTTGGACTGATGTGTTTTTGTTCTCATTGATTTCCATGAATTGTTTAAGTTCTTCTTTGATTTCTTGGTTGACCCAAACAGTCTTGAGCAGAGTGGTCTTTAGCTTCCAAGTGTTTGAATTTCTGCCAAATTTTTTCTTGTGATTGAGTTCCAGTTTTAGAGCATTGTGGTCTGAGAATATGCAGGGAATAATCTCAATCTTTTGGTATCAGTTGAGACCTGATTTGTGACCCAGTATATGGTCTATTCTGGAGAAAGTTCCCTGTGCGCTAGAGAAGAATGAGTATTCTGTTGTTTTAGGGTGGAATGTTCTGTAAATATCTTCGAGGTCCATCTGGTCCAATGTATCATTTAAAGCTCTTGTTTCCTTGTTGATTTTCTGCTTAGATGATCTGTCCATTGCTGAAAGTGGAGTATTGAGGTCTCCTACAATTAACGTATTGTTATCAATATGACTCTTTATTTTGGTTAACAGTTGGCTTATATAGATGGCTGCTCCCATGTTGGGGGCATAGATATTTACAATTGTTAGATCTTCTTGTTGGATAGACCCTTTAAGAATGATATAGTGTCCTTCGGTGTCTCTTGTTACAGACTTTAATTTAAAATCTAATTTGTCTGATATAAGAATTGCTACCCCAGCTTTCTTTTGAGGTCCGCTGGCATGGAGGATGGATATTTATCCCTTCACTTTCAGTCTGGATGTATCTTTAGGTTCAAAATGAGTCTCTTGTAGACAGCATATGGATGGGTCTTGTCTTTTTATCCAATCTGCAACCCTCTGCCATTTTATGGGAGTATTTAGGCCATTCACGTTGAGAGTGATTATTGAAAGATATGAATTAATTGTCATCATGTTGCCTGTGAAGACGTTGCTTTTATAGATTGTCCCTGTAAATTTCTGTTGTAGATCATTCTTGGGGTCTTTCTCCTTTTATAGAACCCCCTTAATATTTCTTGCAGGGCCGGCTTAGTGGTCACATATTCTTTCAACTTCTGCCGGTCATGGAAGCTCTGCATCTCTCCATCCATTCTAAATGAAAGCCTTGCCAGATAAAGTATTCTTGGCTGCATGTTCTTCTCATTTAGTACCCTGAATATGGGTCTTGCCAGGCCTTTCTGGCTTGCCAGGTCTCTGTGGATAGGTCTGACGTTATTCTGATGTTCCTCCCTCTGTACATTAGGAATCTCTTCCCCCCAACTGCCCTTAAGATGGTTTCCTTGGTTCTAAGATTTGCAAGTTTTATTATTATGTGCCGGGATGTTGGCCTGTTTTCCTTGATCTTAGGAGGGGTCCTCTCTGCCTCTAGGACTCGAATGTTTGTTTCATTCCCCAGGTTAGGGAAGTTCTCAGCTACGATTTGCTCAAATACCTCTTCTAGTCCTCTCTCTCCACTCCCTCCGGGATTCCAATTATTCTGACATTGGAACGCTTCATGGTGTCACTTATTTCTCTGATTCTATTTTCATGGATTCTGAGTTGTTTTTCCCTGGCCTCCTCTTTTCCCTTTTTATCTATTATATTGTCTTCCAGGTCGCTTATTTGTTCTTCTGCCTCAGTTACCCTAGCTGTTAGATTATCTAGATTGGATTGGATCTCATTGATAGCATTTTTAAGTTCTGCCAATTCAGCTTTCATTTCTGCCCTTAGAGACTCTATGTTGCCATTAATTGATTTCTCCATTCTAGCCATTGTCTTCACAATTGCTAGCCTGAATTCCATCTCTGACATCTTGGTTATATCTGCATCCATTTGTAAATCTGCAGCATAAGTCATAATATCTGATTCTTTTCTATTTTGGGGGCTCCTCCTCCTAGTCATTCTGTTGATGGGTGTTTGAGGGAATGTATAGAGTCCAAATTATTGACCAGAACCCAAGCAAGATGCACCTGTTTTCTTGGGACCTTAGGGTTGCTGGCCTCTTGTTTTCCCAGCCTGTCTTCTGCGGGAGGGGCCTGCCGCGCTGTTACTCAGGCAACCCTGTTTGGGCGGAGTTGCCCTGCCCCCCCATCATGGGGGATGGGCTCAGCGGGAATCCGTTTTTGGGGCTTTTGTTCTCTGGCAGCTTTCCCTGGCGGCTTTCCGCGTCTCTTCCGCAAGTCAGAGCAGAAGAGACCGTTTCCAACCCTCTGCCTCAGAGCACAGAGACCGCAGTCTGTTCTTCATTGAGCTCTCCAGGCCACACCGTCTCCGTTTCTGTCCGTGCTGCTATAACCTGCAGCAGCCTGGGTTGTGCACCCCTCCGCAGCGATCCCAGTCCTGCCTCCAGGTCGGGGCATGTCTCTGCCCTTTGTGCTTCTAAAACTGCCAGCCACTCCCAGTTTGTGCTCTCACAGGACCCCGCTGCTCTGGTTTCCGTCCGGGGGCTGCAGTTCCCGGGCGTGACCCCAGCGCTCCAGGTTTCTGCCCCAGGGGCTGCAGTTCGCAGGCGCGACCCCGCTGCTCCGGGTTTCCACCCCGGGGGCTGCCCTGAAGTCCTTTCCCGACACTACCGGTCAGCGAGTCTGTGCCTGTCCCCAGCGCGTGAGGCTGTCACTCACTGGCGGTGTAGGATCCCCACAGCCAGGCACCCTCCCGCTGCCGTTTATCCTCTGACATCTGCCCGTGGAATCAGGGCTCCCTGCTTCGTACCTCAAAACCAACCGCCTCTGATACTCTGTAGAGATCCAGATCTTCTTACATCTCAGGCTGGTTTCGTGGGTGCTCAGGGTGGTCTGGTAGATATCCAGCTCAATTCCGGGGACCAGTTGAAATAGGGTCCCCTACTCCTCCACCATCTTTCTGGATCACCCAACATTTGTGGTATTAATGACATGTTAACGATGTCAGGGACTCTTTTTATCCCACTGTTCTGCCATCTCAGCATTTGGGTTCTTCCTCATAGTCCAAGATAACTGTCTGAACTCCAGCCATCTCTTCCCATTCCCTCTGGCAAAAGAAGGAGGAAAGGCCTCCAAGGACATTTCCCAGAGGTCACACACAGCACTTCTATGGACGCCCCGTGGGTCAGAACTGAATGACATGGGGCACCTAGCTGCAAGGGAGGATGAGGAACGTAGCCTTTCTTCTGGGCATTTATGAGCCTAGCACCAAACTGGGGCCTTCTCATGCTGAGGAGGAAGGGGAGAATGGACATTGAGCAACAGTGAGCAGTCTCTGCGAGAGACCATGTGCCCCCATGTTCTCACTAGTTGCCCTCACCTCTGCCTCTGAGTGTGTGTGTGTGTGTGTGTGTGTGTATGCGTTTCTCTGCCCATGTTAAATTCTTTTTTTTTTTAAGATTTTATTTATTTAATTGACAGAGACACAGTGAGAGAGGGAACACAAGCAGGGGGAGTGGGAGAGGGAGAAGCAGGCTTCCTGCCGAGCAGGGAGCCCGATGTGGGGCTCGATCCCAGGACCGTGGGATCATGACCTGAGCCGAAGGCAGACGCTTAACGACTGAGCCGCCCAGGCGCCCCTGCCCATGTTAAATTCTAAAACCCATCTTCATATTTATCTGAAGGAAAGAAAGCACCATAAAAGCTGACATGTACTGAGTGCATACCAGGTGTGAAACGTGATCTATATCACTTACTCTTCACAAGAGTGCTCTCCAAGTGCTTTACCTAGGAGAGTTTAGCATGGGACTATTTACAGAGGTGTGGGCAGAGTGGAGAGAACCAAAAGGGCTTCCTGGAGTGTCCAGAGTTTAGCAACAGCAGGAAATCATAACCACCCCTGAAAGGGCAAGGGGACAGACGAGTGTCCGCAAACCAGCCTGACCAGAGCTTTGAGACATAGAAGAGAGGCTGCCTGTCAGGAGGTAGAACTGTAGAATGAAGCCAAGCCAGCATCCCTGTGAGCCTGGGCCATAATGGCCTCAGGAGGTTGATACATACCTGACCTGTCTCTCCTCCCACCTTGGATTTCCTAACAGCATCCCACTTTGGCTGAGGCCAACTGGAAGGCAGAGAGCAAGGGCCCCCAGCGAAAACAGTCCATAGCTCCTTGGGGAACACAGCAAGGCAAAGAAGGGCAGAAAATGGATTGAGAGATTGGGAGAGCAGCAGAGAACAACCCACACAGTATTAGGACTCCTTTTTTCAGGTAGGGAAACTGAGGCATAGAGAAGCTAAGTCACTTGCCCAGCTGGTAAGCAAGAGGCAGGATTCTGCTAGCTTCGGATGTGTCCTGAAGGGGAAGGCCGAGCCCACAGCACATTTGCCTTTCCTGTCTGTCTGCACAGTACTCTGCACACAGTAGGCGTCTGATAAATGGTCAGTGAATGAAATCATGGGAGAGGCATATTTTGGTGTAGGAGTAACTGTTTCCTCCTCCTTGTCATTGCAGGTTGCTGTCCCAAACCTCAGTGAGGCCGTGCAGGATGCAGACCTGCTGGTGTTTGTCATTCCCCACCAGTTCATTAACAGAATCTGTGACGAGATCACCGGGAGGGTGCCCAAGAAAGCGCTAGGAATCACCCTCATCAAGGTAACTGGCCGGTGACCCCAGGCAGAAAAAGCATTGCTGGGCTGGACGTCAGTTATGGGGGAGATTATTTCCTCTCACTTCCATCTGTTAGAAATAGGAGCGGAAAGGGAGGTTATGGCAGTTTTTTGTTTTCTGGTTTTTTTAAAGATGCCTGGAAGGTAATCAGTAACACACATCGCAGGAGCTCAGGAGCTCAGCTGAGCCCCACTTCAGGCGAGGGCTGCTTTCTATCACAGCGGCTTTGAGCAGTGGCAGTGATGTGAGGATGGGCTCCTCCTGACGAGCCTTGCTGTCAGAAAGAACCTGTCTAGGCCATGGGTCTCAGCCTGCGTTCTGGAAATCACCAGTGGTTTGTGTTGCTGGGAATTGCATTCTTGTTAGTTTCTACTCCTGGGTATACTCCCTAAAGGGAGTTTTTAACCACAAGTCCACAAACCACCCCCACAGGTCCCTAGACAGAATTCAGGAGGTTCCTAGACTTAAATGTGGGGAGAAAAATTACATTTTTATTCATTTTAACTTCTAACTGAAATGAGCGTTGCTCTGGTGTATGAATGCCAGCCACAGGCCAGACTTGCCATAACAATCTATGGCCCTGTTATCAATAGAAATCCCAGGTATTTTCATGCCACTTTATAATGGCTCCAAGTTATCTGAAGGTATCATTTATGCTGATCACGACCTTGAAATTATGGTAATTGTTAAACCTGCCAAATCATCTTTTTCTAATTGCATTAATAAAACAGCACGTATATTACTTTGTCATAAATTTGTGTGTTTTTTTAAAACATTTTGATAACTATGTTTCAATGTAATCGGCTTCCTGGGTAATCTCATGCATTTTGCTTTATGCATATGAAATTCTGAGAATGAGTCCATAAAACTTCACGAGACTGCCCTGTGTGAGGGCCACATCATAAAAAAGGTTAAGAACCCCCTCGAGAGACTTTATTCTTTAGAGTGGTTCATAGATGAGTGTTTATGAAAGCAAACTTGAACAACTTACATGTCAGTTATAAGTACAATGGATAAATGAATAGTGGCCTTTTGTTTTGGAATACAACACAGTGGTAAATAGAAACACACCAGAACATTCATGCAGCCACATGGGTGAGTCTCTAAAATGATAGGGTAGCACCGAACAGTACCTCATGGGTGAATGGTACAATTTCACTTACAGGCTTTCAAAAGCAGGCATAATGGCATAACATTTTGTTTAGGGATAGCTTTATGCGGCAAAATGGTCAAGAGCAGAAGGGAGTGGTGCGTACAGCCTACAGGATAGCGGTGTACCCTGGTGGGGGTGTGGACCAGTAGCGAGAAGGAGGACGGACTTGGGGAGGGACATACGGGACTTCAGTGGTATACGTCACGTTCTGGGTGGACATCATTTTCTTTCCGTTTTATTGTTACGCTTTCAACAGTGCAGACATGGTATGTATGTTACTCTTGTAAGAGCTCTTTTTCAAGTAACAGAGTGACTGTGGCATGCCTCATTCACTTGGTGGTTTGATTTCCCCTAATTTGTTGACATCCTTACAGGGCATAGACGAGGGCCCTGAGGGGCTGAAGCTCATTTCCGACATCATCCGGGAGAAGATGGGCATTGACGTCAGCGTGCTCATGGGAGCCAACATTGCCAGTGAAGTGGCTGCAGAGAAGTTTTGTGAGACCACCATCGGTGAGGCTGGGTGGGGAGCCTTGGGAGCCCGGACATTCAGTGTTTTAAAAGCACATTTGCCATTTCTGGTATCTTCTGTAGTGGACTCTTCCTCAGGTAGATATTCAGTGGGGTGGGGATTTAATGTAAGGAAGTCAACAGCCCCCAGAATCAAAGTAAAGGCAAGGAGACCATTTGGACCTCCCATGAGCCGATAATGAATTATCAAGGTTAAACACAAAAAATGCAAAGTGGCTTATACTGAGAAGCAGGTGATGACATCCATGTAGGGGCTGCCCTGGCCTTAGAAAACCCAGATTTATTATTTTTTTTTTTTTACTCACAAATGCCAGTATCTGGATCCTCATTGGATTCCAGTGCTATCTAAAAATTGGAATGATAAAAATTGGTGGGAATGATCCCTGTTTTCAGGTGAATAATCCAAAACTCAGTGAATAAGTTACCTGCCCCAAGGTCACATAGCGAATTTAGAACTCAGGCATGAACTTGGCCATCTTGTTTCCTAAATTAGAAAGCTCTTCCTACTCTTACACAACATTGGTATTGTGAAGATTTCCGCTTCTTTTAAAAAGGGCTTTGAAATTCTCATGTGCTCATGTACCATATTAAAATACTGATAGAAAAGTAATATTGCTATCTTTGCACATGCTTTGCAAAAGTTTGAGTTTATTTACCACCTTACTTCCACCCTTGTCAAACATAGCAGCAATGTGCATGATTTCTCCTTGCAGCTTTGTAAAAGGAAGCTCTCAGAGAAGTCAGGCTCTTTTCAGGAAGATAGAATGCATGGGAAAAGGTAGCTCCTGACTTTCATACACGCCTGCAAGTTAGGACATTTTTACTTCTTTTGCTTATTTCTCTTTTTCTTTTAATTACATAGATATTGTGGAAAATAGGGATGATCAAAAGAAAACCATTTCTTACATTTAATTTCCATTTTTTTCTTTGTGTGCAAACTATTAATGTACGTCTATATAAGTTACATACTGTTTTATAATTGCTTTATTTACTTAATATATAACAACTTTTGAAGTCTGTCAACATCTTCATAGCTGGATAGTATTCCATCAACAATCCCATATATCTGGGCACTTAAAACTTTTTTTTGTTTTGTTTTGAGAAATACTATCTGTGGAGAACAGAGGTATCACAAATAATATAATGAAGAAAACAAAATGGACTATAGTCAACCCAGGTTGATATTTATAAAAATGATACATATAGACACAGGTAAGAAAATTCAAACAGTATGAGAATTAAGATTGTGACTTCTCGACCTTGGGAAGATGGTGGAGCAGGAGGACCCTGAGCTCACCCTGTCCCACATGTACAACTAGATACCATCCACATCCAAGTCAGTAAACCGGAGAGGGATCCAAAGATGGGCAGAACGAACTTCACAGCGAAATAGAAGAAGCTGCATCTGACAGGTTAGGAAGGTCAGAAAGGCGGAGGGAGGCTGCCCACAGGAGGGAGGGGCTGTGTGCATGAAGAGGGCAGAGAAACGAGCTGTCGTACCAGGGAGCTCACATGGAAACACTAATCCCCATAACATCTGGCTTCAAGAACCAGAGGGGCTGAATTCCGTAAGTTTGTAAGAACAAGTGAGACTCGATCCTGGCACTTTGGAGGTCAGCTGACTCAGCACTGGGTGAGCCTGGAAGGTGAGTGAGAGCTGGGTTGCTACCCTTAAAGAGATAGCAGCCTGAGTGGAGAGGCAACGTAAAAATAGCAGTTTACACAATGCTGGGGGTAGACAGGAGACAGATCTGATCATATTGATTTTGGAGCATGTTGGGGGACTTCTCTGAAAATGAGGGCTCTGACAGGTGCCATTTTTTGCCTCCATCCCCAACATAAACACAGAGCTACAGGTGAAAGGCAGGGCTGCACAGATACTGTAGCCTCTGCCCCAGGGCTCAGGGCAAATTAAAGTGTGTGCGCTGCCCAGCCACCGGGTGCATAGCTGTCTCCTCACGTAGCCCCCAGCCACCACACCGTGCTCAGCTGCATGCCCCCAGATACCATCACATACCATGCCATGTGCCCCCAGCCACCATTACACACTGGGCCCAGCTACACCCAACCATCATCACACGCTTTGCCCAGCCTCACGCCCCCAGCCACCCCTGTGGGCAGCTCCCAGCCACGGTGGCACTTCGGGGGATCTGGCACAGGACTAGAGACGCAAGACAAATTTTGCTAACACCACCACCCCGCTCCCAAGTTCCCCAGTGGGTATGTCCCCTCACAGCTGGCCTGACTGGGCCCCACTAACACCAGAGAGAGCAAGCACAGCCCACAACAGGCAGAGAATCAGTGCCGACAACTGCACTGAAAGGAAAAGTGACTCAGACATGACAGCAAGACATAAGCAACACACACAGGATGCTCTCCTGAAGTGCCAGGTTCTGGTGAACAGGGGATATGCACTGCAGGGACTCCAGAACCTCCTCTGCATAAAGTCACTGCATGCAATAGAGAAGACACAGCTGACTTTCTTTACGCACAGAGAAAGGCAGACAGAGAGAGGCAGACAAACTGAGGAGACAGAGAAATGAAATGGAAATGAAAGAAGAGGACAAGGCCACAGCCAGAGATTAAGCAAAATAGTACAAGTAACTTGCCTGATAGAGAATTTAGAGCAGTGATCATAAGGATCCTCACTGGACTTGAGAAGAGTGGAAGACATGAATGAGATGCTTAATGCAGTGATAAGGAATAACATAGCAGAGATAAAGGGCTCAATAAATGAAATGGGAAACATGCCTGATGGAATGAGCAGCAGGATGGAAGAAACAGAGGAACGAATTAGTGACCTGGAAATGGAAAGTATTCAAGATGAACAAAAGAAAGAAAAAAGAATTATGCAAAAGGAGAATAGACTTAGAGAACTCAGTGACTCCATTAAATATAATAACATTCGTATTATAGGAGTCTCAGAAGAAGAGAGAGAAAAGGGGGCAGAAATTTTATTTGAAGAAATAATGGCTAAAAACTTTCCTAATCTAGGGGAAGGAAACAGAGATCCAAATCCAGAAGGCACTGAGAACCCCCATCAAAATCAACAAAAGCAGGGGTGCTTGGGTGGCAGTTAAGTGTCTGACTCTTGGTTTTGGCTCAGGTTATGATCTCAGTGTCATGAGATCAAGCCCTGCATCTGGCTCTTTGCTCAGTGCAGAGTCTGTTTGAGATTCTCTCTCTCCTTCTCCCTCTGCCCCTCCCCCACTCGCTCACTCTCCTCTCTCTCTCTCTCTAAAACAAATAATCTTTTTAAAAAAATCAACAAAAGCAGATCCACACCAAAACATATTGTGATTAAATTTGCAAAATAAGTGATAAAAAAAATCTTAAAAGCAGCAAGATAAAAGAAGTCAGTAACTTACAAGGGAAAACGCATAAGGCTAACAGAAAATTTTCAACAGAAACTTGGCAAGCCAGAAGGGAGTGGCATGATATATTCAAAGTGCTGAATGGGAAAAATCTGCGGCCAAGAATACTCTATCCAGCAAGGCTGTCACTCAGACTGGAAGGAGAGATAAACAGTTTCCCAGACAAAAAAAACTAAAACTAAAGGAGTTTGTGACCACTAAACCAGCCTTGCAAGAAATATTAAAGGGGACCCTTTGAGTGGAAAAGAGAGACCAAAAGTGACAGTATAAAGGGAGGAAACACAAAAGCAGGAAAAATGAACATTTCTGTAAAAAATCAGTCAAGGAACTCAAGAAAAAAAGGATATAAAATATAGTAACATACCTAAAACATAGGGAGAAGAGGAGAAAAGAATATGTTCAAACTTAAACAACTGTCAACATAATATAGACTGCTATATGCAGAAGAGGCTATATACAAGCCTGATGGTAACCATATATCAAAACCACTAATAAATATGGAAAGAATAAAGAGAAAGAAATCCAAATATATCATTGAGGAAAATCAGCAAAACATGAAAGAAAGACAATAAAGGACCAGAGAAAATATTCAGAAACAACCACAAAACAAGTAATAAAATAGCAATAAATACATATCTGTTATTACTTTGGATGTAAATGGACTAAATGCTCCAATCAAAAGTCATGGGGTATCAGTATGGATTAAAAAAAAAAAAAAGACCCATGTATATGCTGCCTACAAAAGACTCATTTTAGACTTAAAGACACCTGCAAATTGAAAGTGAGGGGATGGAGAATCATGTATCCTGCAAATGGATGTCAAAAGAAAGCTGGAGTAGCAATACTTATATCAGACAAAATAGACTTTAAAACAAAGACTGTAAGAAGAGACAAAGAAGGGCATTATAATCTTAAAGGGGACAATCCAACAAGAAGATACAGCAATTGTAATTATTTAGGCACCCAACATAGGAGCACCCAAATATATAAAACAGTTAATAACAATCACAAAGGAAATAATAATAATACAGTAATAATAGGGGACTTTAACACCCCTACTTACATCAATGGACAGATCATCTAAACAAAATCAACAAGGAAACAATGGCTTTGAATGACACACTGGAACAGATGGATTTAACAGATATATTCAGAACATCCCATCCTAAGACAGCAAAATACACATTCCTTTCAAATACACATGGAGCATTCTCTAGAATAGATCACATATTAGCCCATAAAACAGGCCTCAACAAATAGAAGAAGATTAAGTCATACCATGTACCTTTTCTGACCACAACAAGAAAAAATATGGAAAGACCACAAATACATGGAGGTTAAATAACATGCTACTAAATAATGAATGGGTACACCAGGAAATCAAAGAAGAAATAAAAAGATACATGGATACAAATGAAAATGAAAACAAAATAGTCCAAAACCTTTGGGATGCAGCAAAAACGGTCTTAAAAGGGAAGTAAATAGCAATACAGGCCCAGCTCAAGAAGCAAGAAAAATCTCAAATAAACAACATAAACTTACACCTAAAGGATCTAGAAAAAGAACAACCAACAAAACCTAAAACCAGCAGAAGGAAGGAAATAATAA